CTAAAAAGTGGGAGCGTGTATGGCTAGTTTGAGGATCAACAGGAAGAGCAGTGTGGCTGGAGCAGAGTGAGACGGGGAGAATGGTAGGAGGTGAGGTTAGAGAGGTGCTGTGGAGGGCGAGGTAGGTGATTTTAGGGCCTTTTAAGCTATTTTAAAGACTGTGGTTTTTACTCTGAGAAAAGTTGGGAAGTATTAGAAGAACTTGAACAAAAGTGACATGTGATCTGACTTACATATAAAAGGATCATTCTAGCTGCTGTGACAAGACACTGTGAAGGAACAGGAGGAAGCAGGGAGACCAGTTAGGAGGATATTGCAGTGAGCGGGGCAATTGATGCTGGTGGCTCAAACCAGGGTGGTAGCAGTAAACTTGGGGAAAGTGGTCAGAGGCTTGGTATATTTTGAATACGGACTCAAAAGGATTTGCTGATGAATTAAATGTGGTCCATGAGAGGAGAGGAGTCAAGGATAATGCAAAGGCTTTGGGCCTGAGCAACTGGAAGGACAGAATTGCCATATCTGACAGGACAAAATTATAGGAGCATTAGAAAATATTTAATAGTATATATTAATACAGCATATAATAATAGTTCTATAGTCTTGTATTGGGAAAGTCTTCTTAGAGAAGATATGAAACTCAGAAGCTACAAAGAAAAAAATTGCTCGATTTAACTACAACAAAATGCAAACTTCTTTATGGTAAAAGACATAAGCTCTTTTTTCAAAGTAATGGACCAAAATAAAATACTTTTATTGTATATACTAAATTCAGATTGCGACTCATAAACTACAAAGAGTACTTCTACAGTATTAAAAGACAACTCAATGGAAAAATGGTCTAAGGCCATAAATAGTCAATTCACAGAGACAGGAACACCACTTAGGCCAGTAAACTTAAGAAAAAAAGGCTCGACCTTATTTCGCCCATGATCCTAGTAAAAATAAAAGGCTGATGTTTTATGGTGGACAAAGCTGTGGAGAAACAGGCAGTCTTATACACTCTTAATGAAGTATAGATTTGTAAAGGATTTATGGTGGACAATTTTTTATTAGCTACCAAAAACTAAAATGTTCATATCCAGCAATTCCATTTCCATTTCTAGGTTCCTAATACACAAACATAATCACACAAAGTGGGCAGAGACATATGCAAAAGGATGTTCATTTCACCATTGCTTATAATAGTGAAAACCTGGAAACGACCTGAGAATGTACCAATAGGAGAATGGTTTAAACAGTTGTGGTACATTCATACTATGAAATATCATGTAGTATTAAAATGGAAAAGGTAGATCTGTAGGTGTAGTTGTATATGGTGACATAAAGAGATACTAAAAATGCTTTTTCAACATTAAAAAAAAGCAAATTACAGAACATATGTATGTTGTGATTCTGTTTATGTTAAAAAAAACCACCTTGGGCATGTGTGTGTGTGTGTGTGTGTGTGTGTGTGTCTGTGTGTGTGTGTGTGTGAATTCATAGAAGTCCTGAGAAAACTGCAAAACTCCTATGCTTGTGAACATGGCATGGGATTACACATGTGGGTGAGAGAATGGAGACTTTAAAATTCTCTTTATTCTCTTTTAAAAACCCCTTTACAATCAAAATGTATTATTTTTGTAGTTGTTAAATTTAAAAAAAAGAGGGATAAGTCAGATACGGCAAATTTCTGAAAGTTCCCAAAGAAGAATCGTGGAGGCAGTAGCATGCTTTTGGTTACATTGCATTCGCATTGCGTCACTGAGCAGTGTGGTGGGAGGGAGAGCATCTAATGTGTGCTCTGTGGCCTTGGGAAAGACACAACGTTTCTCAGCCTCCACTTTCTCATATAAAGAATGTAGCTAATGCATGCCTTATTTATTTTCTTGTCAGTTTTGAAGAAATGGAAAAACAGTTTAAAATTATAAAGCCTTATAAAAAACGTGAAAGATATTTAATATTTCTTGTGCCAGTTTAATTAATGATCTGCTTCTTTTGAGCAATTGTCAATAATATCAAAATTCAGTCTGAAGCAGAGAATCTAAAGATTATCTCTTAGAGTCTATTTTAACAGAATTCTGCCTGTCCAAGTTAGGTCCTAAATAGTAGCAGTGTTGGCATTTTTACTTAACAGTTCTAGAGCGATGCTGGTGCAGATGGATTTTGGCAAACGCCTTAAATTATACCTTCTACCCAAGCCCTCTCAGGGCCAACCAGCTTGGATATACTGAATTAATTAACAAGTTCTTCCTATGTGCCTGCTTTGTACTTAGCACTCCGCTATGGGCAGGTGGCCAGATGTCCAGGTTTTCCTGGGACCGTTATGGTTTACGCAGTCTCATATAATTGCTAATAGCACCCCTTTGACTCTCAAAAGTGTCCTTGTTTTAATGATCAATTATATGGACACCTTACTACAGTCACCTAAGGGGCATGGAGGGAAACATAAGCAGCCCCTGGCTTATAAACATCAGACTTGGAAATTTCCTTCACCATCCCAGCTCCCCACCACTGGATGAGTCCGTATTACTTCAGGAGAGGCCATTATCAAAACCATGGGTCTTTTGGAGACTTGCTGGACTCAGAGGTAAAGGCAGAATTAAGGCTGAGACGAGCTGGTGTGGACCATCAGAGGGCCGCCCTCCAAGTTGTTCTCTGGAAAACCTCCTCCCTCAGGCCACTTACCTGTTCCTGGTCACAGGTTTATCTAGCAGGGGGTGGGGGGGACCAGCATTCTAATTTTAATAGTGTGAATAGGTTTGGGGATGTTCATAGCAATTATTTCCCTTCTAACTTGGAGCTGATACCTGCTTATACAGAGCAGGGGGAGTGTTTTGGTGAGGGATACAACTGGAAAGAAAGAAGGAATTTTGGAGCACAGGTGGATCGGGGAGTAAGACCCTCCCTTAGGACAACCTAGGTACACAGCGGGTCAGTGGGCCATGGGGAAAGAGGGCAGAAAGGAAGGTGGATGATAAAGTCATGCAGTAGTTATTTTGGGGGGAAAATGATGCCTTGTGCTCAATGCATGTCTTGGGAAGGGAAAAGCATGTTCTTTCTCTGCCTCCTGCTGTTCCCTCTCCTTCTCCCCTGCCCTATATGGCCCAGCACCCAGAAATCGAGCCAGTACTTCACTGTGCATTGCATAGATCTGGGAATGAGATGTGTTTATAGCATTGCTTTGGCAGGAATATGTATTCTTGAATCCAATCATTGGGCTACCAATACATTTTGGGACAGACCCTTTCTTAAGTTGGGAACTGCCTGTATAAGACGAGGCCCCTGCCCGGGAAAGGCTCACAGTCACTGGATTTAGGGGAGGCCTGGTTAATAAATAAGAAACTACTGGAGAGCAATCAAATGCCAACTGTAGGATATTGGCTCTCAGTACAATGTGAATTTATCCAAGGGGGAGTCCTGAGAGGGGTGGTATGTGGGTTCACTGAAATTTTCACATAGGACAAAATTACTGATCTAAAAATATGTTTCGATAACAAGAGGAGGAAGGAAACAATTCTAAGTAGTGATGCAAGTCACCTGGAGCCAAGATTTGGCATCAGATATGAGCATGGAAACGGAAGGCTGTGAGAAGAAATCAGGTCTGATGGAAGCAAAATGGCTTTTTGAGAAGCAATAGGAAATTGGTTTGGCTAACATCACATGGGGGTCAAACATTTCACATAAATTGCAGTTCATAAAACATATCTCTGAAACTTGCATATATTTCATGTGACTGAATACTTTGAGGCAATAAATCCTGACAGCATTTTTCAGGTGGGTAATTGAATGCGTTTAAAGTTCAGATGAAGTGAGGACCAGATCTGGGAAGTCTGTGAATCCAGGTTAAGGACCTTGGACTTGATGGAAGAGTCTATAATGGTGTTATTGAAGATGCTAGATCAGGGTTGGAACATGGATGTTTGGCTGGTACACAGGATGAAGGAGAAAGAAGTCAGGGAGACCACTTAGGAAGCTGCTACAGTAGACCAGGGGTGAGAACTGAGTACGTGGACCAGAATGGAAGCAGGAGATTGGAAAAGGGATAAATCTCAGAGCCATTGTAGTGATGGAAACAGCAGGACTTAGAGACCGTATGGGAAGAGCCACAGGAGGCCCTTATGTATCTCAGGGTAACTTAAGCATGAGAAAAAAAGTTCACGTTTACATGAAGACTTAAACTAGGGTGGTAGGATTTTCTAAGCTATTTTAAAGACTGCCATTCCTTCTACTGAACCCCCTTTTCAAGGAAGCCCAATAGCACTATTCACTTACCTAATTCTGCAAAAATTCAGAAGTCTTAAAGCATTTATTCACTCGCCTGATTTTTGCAATATTAGGTGAGTGAAGAAATGCTGTAAGGTTTCTAACCCAGAAGACATAAGCACGCAATTCATTTTACTGCCAGTTTTGGTGGAGGGTTGTGAGACTTGCCAGGGCTTCGAAAAAGTGTGACAGGTCCAGAGTTTGTTCACATAGAAATGAATGCTTTTCTTGCTTCATAACCCCTGTGCCTTTCCTGTGAACGCCATCTCCTGAGAAAATCTTAGAGCACTAATTTACTAACCTAATTTGTATAAGGAGGTTAGTGAACCAATGCTGTAAGACTTTTATGGAAATATTTGAAATTAATTAGCCTTGTCAGCTTTTATTTGCATAAGCTCTCTTCCAACTATATCTTCCCCCAGTATAACTTTTAATAAGATGGATTTTAAACAATAAAACTTTAAGAATCTCTGTACAAAGAGCTTGAAGAATCTAAATACAAGGGTTTATTATTAACACAGTAGCAAATATATCAGGGAAACACGCCCCATGAAAAGTGTTTCAAAGAAACATAAATCTGCTCTGAGAAAGGTCTGTACTCAGTAAGCAACCCTGAAAAAGCTTGTTTGCTTGGTGATGCCCGCAGATAAGCCTGGCAAACCTCGGTGTGATTGAAGAAGCCAGTTTGAGACTCAGCCTAACCCAGGCAAGCTACTGGTCCCTCGCTGCGCTCAACTAACTTCACAAACTTGGACATAATGGTGTTCGCATTTTGGAAGGTCTTCCTGATCCTAAACTGCCTTGCAGGTAAGGAAAGGAACTCCAAACAACAAAAGATAATTGGGAATGGAGTTTCCTTTTAAACTGAAATTGTAACGTTTTTCATAGAATGCTCCTCTCCTGTACTGGAAAGGAATGGTGATTAGTTTGCTGAGCAAAATAATTTTCAGAAGTCTTGCTTAGCAAATATATGCCATGCCGATATTTGCAAAGGTGTGGGGGGGGAGGGCAAACTATAAACAGTATTGTTTTATGTAGCTTCTGAATTAAAAAAAATTTAGAAAAATCACAGTAGCTTTCTTTTTTCTTTAGTTTGGAAGTTGAACAGATGAACTTACTCAGAAGCTCAAGTTTGTGCTAAGGATACTTTTTTTCTCTGTTTTACTTATTTCCTTTAAATTGTCTGTGATGGACCTGCTTTGCTACAGCAGGCAAAGCCTGGCTGGGAGGGCCTGCCATGCCTTACTATCTAACATTTCTTAGAGACTTGTACTTTTCAAAGCCTAAGGCTGTATTTTTGAAAATACATATGTGAGTGATTTATCATCATGCACAATATGGGTGTTTTTAGGGACTTGAGCAGAACACAATCATTTTGAGAGTCAAAATCCTGATGTTGTTATATCCATAAGAGATCACTAACTCAAAAAACACCTTGGGTAGTTTTTTTCAAATACCAGATATTTTTGAATCTGTTCTTATGATAAATTAGATCCATGGTAGGTACAATAGTATTGTTTCTCCCAAAAATTATACTTTTTAAGACATCAGTAATATTAGACAGTCAATAGAATGAGGTTTACTAAGTATATTTAATGACATAGAAAATGCTTAGGGTAAAATATGAAGTGAAAAAGCAGGATATGGACACATCTAGAATAAATTACTAGAAGTTTATATATAAAAATTCTCATAGTGATTACCTCTGGGTGATGAAATCATAGATGATTTTTATTTTATTCCCCAGCTTTTCCATATTTTCCAGGGTTTCTACAAAAACCATTATATTATTTTTATAACCAGAAAAAAGTGTTAGTTTTCAAAACTATATGGTTTTTAGTAATAGTTCTCTAAATATTCATTACTAAATGCTAAAACAAACATGTTCTATGGAGTCACGAGAAGGCAATACTGCATTTATCCAGTGACCTAACCAGGATTTTGAGCTAGAAAAACCCACCTTTCTCAATTTCCATCCTGGTGGGAACAGGTGTTACTATTTTCCCTTTCCCCCAGGAATATTCATTTTAAACCTTAACTTTACACAATGAAAGCCTTTGTTTCCTTTAAAGAACTTCTAGTCATTAGCTAATTGGGTCGCCCCTGGGCCTCCTGCACCAGCCCTCTAAAATCACCACTGTAGTCAACACCTATTTCCCTATGTGAGGCCTTCGTCTGGCCTATACTAGACACCAGTTTTGGAACAGTTGCAAGAGTGGTTTTTACTGTAACTAACGTATATATAAGTTTTACTGATTATAAATGTAATGAGTGGTCATTGTAGAAAGGTTGGAAAATGTGGAAACATATAATTAAGAAAATGAAAATCACCAACAATCTTACCACAGATTTGGGTAAATTTCTTTTTTTTTCCCTTTGTAAGTATATATACTACATTAGAAAATTGGATTTATACCTTGTATGCAATTTTTATTGTTTAAAAAATTGCCTAGACGATGTCAGGATCTTACTTGATCGCGACTTTTAGAATAAGGCCCAATCAGAATGACCAAAAAACATTTCAGAGACTTTGTTCTTAAATTATTGTGTAACTGGCTTTGTGGTGGATAATGTATATGTGTATCTATACATATACAATCTAGCAGGCCCAAAGCAAAATATGGTAGTGTCAGTCTAACAGATGAAATGGAAATATGGTATAATACAGAAGGTGCCAAAAAATGTATACACATTGTAAGAATGGAAAAAACTGTATTCAAATTGTTAATACTCAATATATACCGATAACAAAAGATGAATACAAGTCACGTTTGACTTGTGCTGTTACAATAGGTGCTCAAAGTGGTTACCATCAGCATAACTTTAATACAGATTTGTCCTTTCTTAAAATGTGTATACATTGTTTTGGCACCCTCAGTGTACTGTTATTTGTCATGCTTACATATGTATGGAAGTCTAAGAAAGATTTCAGGAACATGTACCTGGCCTTACTAGCATCCATCAGTTGATCCAGATATGGCTGTGAGGCAACCGGTAATGTTTCCACCAATGTGTAATGTTACCTGAACTTTTTTCTTGGTCAAGAAGAATGTCATGTTTTTGGTGTCAATCACGGTGCCAGGCACATAGTAGGCACAAAGGAAATGTATATTAAAAGAATGAATTCCCTTCAAAATCCTGCCATTTGTAACATGGATGGATCTTGAGGGCATTGTGCTAAGTGAAATAAGTTAGATAAAGACAATAATGTATGATCGCACTTATATGTAGAATCTAAAAAACCCGAATTCATGGAAACAAAGAGTAGAGTGGTGGTTACCAGGGTGGGTAGGTGGGTGGGGAAAACTGGGAGATTTTGGTCAAAGGGTACAAACTTCCACTTAAAAGATAGATAAGTTCTGGGGATGTAGTTAATGTACAGCACAGTGACTATAGTTAACAATACTGTACTGTATATTTAAAAGTTGCTAAGAGAGTAGATCTTAAGTATTATCACCACAAAAAAGAAATGATAATTACGTTATGTAATGAAAGTGTTAATGCTATAGTAGTAATTATTTTATAATGTTGGGTTGTCAGAAAAGTCATGACGCATGTCATGACTTTTCCGAAAATCCAATATATAGGTGTATCAAATCAACACTTTGTACACTTTACACTTACACAATGTTATTTCAATCACATCAATAAAACTGGAAAAATAAAAGAATGACTTTCGCAAACTTCAAATATCCAGAAATTATTTTCATATACATATTTAAAATCAATTCTCTCTGTACAACTAAGCAAGACAAATTTCATTTTAAGCAAAATATTTCTGATGATTACTTAAGAAGTCTTAGATTAAATTACACTTCAGAAAAATAATTTTAATCAAAGATGTCTTCTACACAAAGTTCACACATATTGTATTAGGTGCTTGTAGTATATGTTAGTCATCTGTTGGAAATATATGTTGAGGTTTCCATTTTCTGGAGGAACATGATGTGCATTTAAAGCAGTAATATATTTGAACTTTGGTTTTGCAGTCAAATCCGAAAAGTGAGTGGTCTTTTGGTGATATTTTTCTAACTAAAAAATGATACAATTGCCCATGAAATTGCTGGAAATTAAATAATTTCAAATGCATCAGGTTAAATATGGCTATTTGGGGGATAGTTTTGTTGCAGTATATTCCCCATGTAAGCACAGTGCCTGCCATATTGTAGGTGTTAAATGAATGAATGAGCAATCATTACCAAAACACGAGGCATTTAAAATAGTTTTAGAGAATTGATTAATTTACGTATATGCACCTTGGGTTATTTTCCTTTAATAATATGCACTGATTTTTTTAAAAGCAGTCTCGCATAGTTCAAACACATATGCATTTTTTTCATTCTGTCAGGTCATGAGTGAAATTGTAATACTGACTTTTGTATTTATTTATTTATTTATTTTAATTAGCTTCAGGTAGAGGCTTTATCACTGACTTTTGTTTAAATCAGGTACTAATCTTCATTTTACTATGTATTCACAGTCTTGTTAATGTAGAGATCTTTCTGCCTTTTTGAATTTTTAACAACTTCTCAATTTAGAGAAAATTAATCCAAAATGGGGGGAACTTTTTTCCCCCCTGACACAGAATCACCTTCAGTTTAAGACTAAATTTGCACTGTTCACTATTCACATGTGGCTATCTAAATTTAAATAAATTCCAATTAACTCAAATTAGAAAATCAGTTCCTGAGTCACACGAAGCCATATTTCGGGTGCTCTATAACTACATGTAGGTAATGGCTAGAGAATTGGACAGTACAGAGATAGAACACTTCCATCATCACAGAAAGTTCTATTGCACAGTACTGGGCTAGAAGATGATCTCAGAGATTTAAGTAATGTGCACTAATTGAATGATGTAACATTTTTTTAAAGTTCATCTGGAAATATGTAGGTCTTAGCTCTGAAGAATATTGTCACTATGTTAGGGCTGGACAATTTCTGAAAGCCATCTCTTTCCTTCAGAATATAAGAATTGATTATGGTCTTGAGTACTTGGAACCTGGGCAATAAGGTGGTCTGGAAATATCCCTTGCCAGTTGTTACCTATTTACAGGACAATGTGAAGTATTCTTAAAAATATATTGTCTCACAGTAGATTTGGAGGTTACCATCCTTATTCCAAAATGATATTGTTGAGCTCTTAAAGATCTCAAATTATTTATATACTTATTTCTTCTATTTAAAAAGTTGAAAATGTTTGCATCGCATTTATAGTTCCCAAATTCTTGATTTTCATTTGCCTCCATTCTGATCGGTGCTATAAATGGCTACCTACTGTGTTGACATGGCAGGGAGAGATTGTGTCTGTCTTGTGCATTATTGTTTCCCCAGTGTTAACACTGTTTGTGACACAAAATAGGTGCTCAACAGATGTTTTTTGATAGGCACCATGGCCTCCTCCATGACTTGCCTTGTGTGAGAACTGTGCTCACTCTGCCTTCAAGCACTTTTGTTGAGAACAGTCTTTAAAGGGTTGTTTGTGTTTGTTTGTTTGTTTGTTTGTTTGTTTGTTTTTGCCTCCCCTAGTCATAAGTTCTCACCATTAGCAAATTCCATAACAGCAACTAGAGGGTAAAATGATGGCCAAATAGTATCTTCAAATTCTCTATTTTTAGGGGCAAGTTTCTGGGAACTTTAATGGCCAACAAATCCCCATTCTATTCTTTTTTTATTTTGGACACTTTAAAGACATTTGGAAGTCATCATTTAGGCATAGTCAGAGATGGATATGACTAACTTCCAGGAGAAATGAGATGGGTTCTTTGCAGGAGAGAGCCACTTAACTTTCTTCAATGACATTTCCA